CTCCCCACCTCACTGCGCCCCTACACCTGGCAAGGCCATCTGGGCTCCTCTGCTTCCCGTGGGCCCCTTCTGCAGGATCTCACAAAAGACAGAGGATGTCCTGCGCCTGAGCCAGACAGCCCTGGCTCATGCCAGCCTACCCCTCCCTGTCCATATGACTTTGGACAAGCTCCTCCGCCTCTTCGAGCCCCCCAGGACGCATCTGCAAAATGGGACTATTAACAGACTACACTTCACAGGGTCTGGGTGAGGTTTTAAGGAGAGGACAGGGAGGGCCTATTTGAGCACGGGCTGGCTCAGAGGAGACACTCAACAAATAAGTGCCCTTAAGATTCTTGCCTCAATTGTGCCTTCATTACTAGAACTAACGCTTAATGAGCACACCTCATGGGGTGGCCTCTGTGTTGTTTATAGCCGCCCTGGAGTCCCTGCTCTAGGGCAGGGACTCACATCATCCCCTCCTGATATATGAGGAAACTGAGGCCAGCAGAGGGTGAGTCATAAAGCCCACAGCCCCTGGCGAGCAGGTGGTGGAGCCAGGCTTGAACCCGGGGCCGATCGCTGAGCTTTGACCCACGATGCTGCCCATCCCCTAAACTGTGGGGGTATTTTTGTGCTCCAGTCGCCCCACTGCCTGACCCAGTGACCCCAGCGTCATGCCAGAGAGGCCTGACTGGCCTCTTCAGGGAGGCAGGCAGGCTGCAAACCTCACAGCCGGCCATACAGCCGTGAGAGTGCTTTTAGTTACAGGTTTTCAGAAAGCGCTTGGTCCACACACGAGTCTGGGACCTTGGCCAGGAACCATGGCTTTAAGAGACTGAGCTTGAAGGGTCCTTCCCATCGCAGGCCTCCGTGACATCAGAAAGCGGGGTGCGTTGGACCAGTGATCTGAAGGTCCCGTGAGGCTCTCACATGCCTTCATTTATTCATCCATTCCGTTGACAAGTACTTGGTGAGGCGGTATAGAGCATTGGTTAAGGGCTCTGCTGGCTGCCTCCTGGCTGCCAGCTGTGTGACCATAGACGGGCCACCTCACCTCTCTAAGCATCAGGTGCCACCTCTGCAAATCAGAAATAATAATGTACTTAAGTCAAGGAGGGAATGAAGCTTCAACGGCACGAGGTGCATAAATGGCCTTGTAGGAACCACCTTGGCTTTGCCCTCGACAACCCAGCCCAGAAGCAGAGAGAGACCCTTCCCTAGTCAGCGATGACTCGGAGTGGACAGGGCTGGAATGCAATGGCCCACAGAACTTGGCTGGCCCAGTTGGCAGGCTTCCTGAGGGAGGATACGTTAGAGCTAAGCAGTGAGCAGAGCTGGACACTGTAAGCGCTAAAGACATAGGAACCACCCACGTGAAGGATGTATCATTAGTCTGTGGGCATTTATTTGTAAAGATTTATTTTTAGAGAGAGGGGAAAGGAGAAAGAAAGGGAGAGAAACATTGGTGTGAGGTGCGAGGGATGTCAACTGGTTGCCTCTTGCACGCCCCCGACTAGGGACCAGGCCTGCAACCCAGGTTTATGCCCTGACCAGGAATCGAACCAGTGAACCTTTGGCTCCCAAGCCAGCACTCAATGCACTCAATCCACTGAGCCACACCCCCCAGGGCTAGTCTGTGGGCATTTAGAGCAAAGAAATATAACATGGCCTGGAGTATCAGGTCACCTCCACCCATTCATTCATCCTTCTAACATCCCCTGCTCTGCTCTCTGCTGAGCCCTGAGCTGGACAGTGCTGGGGACACCTCCGTGACCCAGACAGCCCTGTCCCCGACCTTCCAGGCTTACAGATTACCTGTGAGGACAGACATCAAACAAGCGTCATCTAAATCATAACTTGAAAAGGAAATTGCAGAAACCTGGGAAATCTCATCATAAGAAGACCTTTCCTGTGACGTCCCCAAACTCCTTCCTTGTCACCTCTCAACCGCGAGCCCATCCACGGAGACAACACAACTCACTTGATAAGCGTTTTATTAAGCTCGTTCTGAGGCACAACGGGCATAGTGCCTACCACCACAGCATCCTCAGCACTGTGTCCACACTTCGGTCCCTGACAGTGTGAGTTGATGGGGACAACCCCGCTGCCCCTCTTCAGTAAGCGGCGACCAGAGGAGTGTCCTGAAACACATTTCTTCTCATGTCCCTTCCCCACTCCTCCCCTTCAGGGGCTCCCTATTTCTCTGAAGACAAAAGCCAACAGGCTGAGCTTGGCCTATGTCGCTGGTTCTTAACAGTGTGAGACCTGACACCCACTTTATACAACATTTGAAAATGCCCCTCTAGGATTCTGAAACCAAAGTCCTATATAACATGGCCCACCAACACAAATTTTACTTTAAAAAATTTGCATCTTGTCCTGCCCTGGCTGGGGTGACTCAGTGGGTTGGGTGTCATCCCGCAAACAGAAAGATCTCTGGTTCGATTCTCCGTCAGGGTACATGCCCGGGTTGCGGGAGACCAGGTGCCTGCTCTGGGGCGCTCGAGAGGCAACTGGTCGATGTTTCTCTCTCACATTGATGTATCTCTATTGATGTAAAAAAGAGAGAGAGAGAGAGAAACAGCCCTGGCTGGTGTGGCTCCCTGAACTGAGCACCGGCCTGCAAATCAAGGGGTCTTCAGTTCACTTCTCAGTCAGGGCACATGCCTGGGTTTCGGGCCAGGTCCCCAGTAGGGGGCGCGCAAGAGGCAACCACACATTGATGTTTCTCTCCCTCTCTCCTTCCCTTCTCCTCTCTCTAAAAATAAATAAAATATACTTTAAAATAAAATCGTTAAACATTTTTATGTCATGTCCTAACTGAACTAACTACAATGGGGAAATGGATAATAACTCAGTCATCTGTTTTTGCGTATCAATGCGCAGGCAGGACTGCTCTAACAGTCTCGCTGGGCCGATACTATCAGCTGCGCGGAGACTCACCAGGAATGAGATAGGAATACACTGTGTTGCTTGGACAATTACCGCAACCAGCATTGCCTGCAGTGACGTGAATTCTAGAAATAGTAAGTAACCCTGGGTGAAATTCCCAGCAAAACTAGAATAGACAGGCCACCAGGTGCAGTTATGTGAATTCCAGGAAAGGTTCCTGCATCCTACGATATTGCAAAAGCACTCAGTGTTTACACGTAAAACACAGCGAAGTTCTAGACTCAGCTCGTCACAAACAGGTTTTCCTCCCTACATGGGTGTCCAGTGGAATACTGGGAAGTTAAGTGGGGCTGGGGACAGATCTTGCTCGTGTGGCCTGTGAACATATCTGGCGTCCCTGTCCCCTGTCCGCTAAAGCCAGTCACACCTCCAATCACTGTGAGAAACCCAGATGTCCCCACCATCTCCAAAACACCCCCACAGAGAGATCCCGCAGCCTCCCAGCACTCGGCCCCTGCACGCCAGCCTAGCCTCGTCTGGGGACCCTCACTCGTTCTGGCCGCCCAGCCCCGCTGCTGTCCCTAAAACCTCAGGCCTCCATATCTTGTGTTCCCCTTCATGGAAGGCTCTTCTTTGTGGTCTCAGCTTCCTGGTCACCCCCGCCCCACCCAGGCCAGCCTCCGTCAGAGCACCCTGTCTGTGGTGACCAGGGGTCTGCAGGCTACTGTCGTCTAACTCGCTGGCTCTTCCCAGGAGGGGCTGCTCACCCATGAAACAGGCACAAGGTAGCCGTGGTCATTGCCGAGTTTCTGGGGCCCAACACTGGGGGCCTCAACGACTGCGTTGAGTGGTCAAGGTGACCGACTACCAGAGACCACTAGTGGAGGAAAACTTCCTTGAAGTGACATGGCCCGAAGCAAGGCTTTTGCTTGGTCCCGAAGGTCGGGAAAGGTTGGAACAACGCACAGGGCTGAGACGGGGCTTTCTCAGTGAGACTGTGCCAGCCAAGGTCTCCTGCTGCTTCTAAGGTCAATTCCCAGGGTTTCTGGCCCCAGGCTGGTGCAAGTCCCAGCTCTTTCCTGTCCCTCCCGTGTGACCTCGAGTACATGCCGGCACTTCTCTGAGGCTGAGCCTTCTCTGTAAATTGGAAATGATCGTGCCCATCTCCTTGAGTGGTTATGCGGTTCCAGTCACGTTTATGGATCACATTTATAAAGCACTGGACACTGTGGTATGCCCTCAAGAAATACTTGTTGAATAAGTGGCTCCTAGTTCGGGACATAAGAAATTAGTTTTTAATTCTTTTTAATTTATTGATTTTTTTAGAGAGAGAACAGAAGGGAGAGAGAGAGAAATATATCAACTCATTGTTCCCCTTATTTATGCGTTGAATGGTTGATTTGATCTGTGACTGGGGATCGAACTAGCAACCTTGGCGTCTCAGGATGATGCTCTAACCAGCCGAGCCGCCCAGCCAGGGCCATTAGGTTTTAATTTAAGAAAGGAAGGGGAACACTCTTCGGAGTCCCATAAACCTGGGTTAGAGCCCCATCTCTGGCTGAGCCTCCGGGCCGGGCCAATGAATTTCCCTCTCTCAGTTTGAAATGTTTGTCCACAAGACGGGATCATAACTGCGTCCCCCACATGGAGTTTTTGTGAGGGTTAAATCAGATCCTGTAGGTAACTGTGCAACATAGTGTCGGGCTACAGTCAGGGGCTGTTATTATTATTAAGAATGGCTCTGGAGTGTATGGAGGGAGCAGGACCCCACCTTGGAATAAGGGAGGAGAAGGGAAAGGGACATTTGCTTTATTGACTGGATAGAGGAACTGAGGCCCAGGGAAGGGAAGGGCCTTTCCAGAGTCACAGAGCAGCTTGGAGGCTGAGCAAGGGCTAGAGACACAGGGAACGGCCTCATTCCCAATCTTGGTGAGCGACGGAAGTCGGATGGGACTCATGGGCGGGGAGTGGGCCCTTTAAATCCTAAGCTCCACCTTTGCTTAGAAGGGTCTTTTGGGGAGTATAAAAGGGGTGCAGTTTCTGCTCCAGAAAACCACCAGCTGCTCCTGCCACTGGCCCCCAGCCCCGGCCTCTCTGCAGCCCAGCACCATCCCCACCTGGGTGCCATGCAGCTGCCACCCTTCGACATGTGGAAGGACTACTTCAACCTGAGCCAGGTGGTGTTGGCACTGATCCAGAGTCGGGGGCAAAGGCCAGAGACCCAAGGTATCGGGGAGTCGAGACCCGAGCCCCAGCTGGGGCAGGACCCTGGGCTGGGAGAGTTGGGAGCCAGCGGGGGCCCGGGCCCCTTGTGCAACTTCTGCAAGCACAATGGAGAGTCCCGCCATGTCTACTCCTCTCACCAGCTGAAGACCCCGGAGGGCGTGGTGGTGTGCCCCATCCTGCGGCACTACGTGTGTCCCCTGTGCGGGGCCACCGGGGGCCAGGCCCACACGCTCAAGTACTGCCCACTCAATGGTGGCCACCAGTCTCTCTACCGCCGCAGTGGGCGGAACTCGGCTGGCCGCAAGGTCAAGCGCTGAGGTGCCTCCCTGCACCCTAACCCTCCTGGTTCAATCCCTAAGTTCCCAGGCCCTCCCCCAGCTCACCTGGCTCTTTGGAACTTCTGGTCCCCAGAACTCCAGCTCTGATGGACCCTGAAATAGTGGTGGCTGTGGGGGAGCCAGGCCAGCCCAGCCCCTGGGACCTCTCAGCCTTCCGCGCTCTGCAAGCATCTGTGGATTCTTGGTGGTGCAGGAACCCTGCCCCTCGGGCCACCCAGCCCTGTGGCTCCTGAACCACAGTTCATGGATCTTTGGTCCTTCCTGGGGCTTGCTGGGGACACCAGCCCTTGGACTTCACTGCCCCTGGGCTCCTTCCTTGAGGAATTCTTGGAGCCTGGGGCCCACAGGAGTCTGCCGTGCTCTCCCAGGACAGCCCGGGAACGGGCCAAGAGTGAGCAAGCTGGCTTGGCCCTCCAGCGCAAAACTTCGAGATGGGACTGACATAAGACCAGCCTTGCCCACCTTCTTCAGCAACCTGCGGGCCACGGTTTCACCGTGAGCCATGAGCCACTCGGGTGGTTCCTTCCCTTCCGGCAGGAGCTGGGGGAGGGAGCGAACCCCCTGCAGGGCGCCCTGTCTCCGCAGGGTGGAGAGCCTGCAGGCCAGCGGACACCCTCCAGCTCCCCAGGTTGTGTTCCCTGTTCGTTCGTTCGTTCGTTCGTTCTACCGCGCTCCGGCCCCCCAGGCGCAGATCACCGGTGGGTCCTCTCGCGTAGCAAGAGGGCCGCTCTCCGCCACCTCCCACCCGCCCCACCCAAGCACGAGAGTTTGCCGAAAGGTTGTCTTTTGCTCCCGTTTCTGTGTTTTTCATCCTCCAACAGTGAAGTCAACAAAACCCCGACCGGAAAGGGGTTTCGGTGCCCGGATGGGAACGGCAGCTGCCTAGCTTTAATTTTTTTTTAAGGGGCAAAAAAGAGCCCCAGTCATATTTTCGGTTGTTTTTGACTCAGGGCTGGGTCCCACGTCTCTCTGGTAAATAAAGAACTTTTCTGGTTCTCTTTGAAATCGCTATGTCTGTTTGTGTCTTCTCCCCATTCCCAGCCGCCCTCAACCCAGCCCTTGCTGGGGGCAGGGCGGCGGGGTGTGTGTGTGTGGGGGGGAGGACTCTCATTTACTCCAACACGTGGGAGGTGGGAGGCGGAGGAGGAGGGACCCTGGGTTCCTCTCAGGATGTGCCCCCCCCACCCCCGCCATACAACCCCCGACACAGGTCCCCCGTGGAGTGGTCCTCCAGTCTCAGCGTCCATCTGCGGCCCAGAGGGCTCCCCCCTGTTCTTCTGGCTCCTTCCAGGGGGTCGGTCTCCCACCCTGCTAGGCCCCAGGTGGTCCGGGACCAACTTCAGTCGTTCTTAAAACCCTGTTGGGGAGGTGATAAAAAGCATGAACTCCACCCAAAGGAAACGCATATGTGGACAAAATGTAGCATATAACACCAGGGCTTCCTTCAGTCCACTGTTCCACAAATATTTACTGAGCACCTGCTTCGTGACCGGCACCAGCCTGGCAGTGAGCAAAATGGGCAACACCCGGACCTTCTAGTGGGGAAGGGGGGGTGCTAACAATCAGTGAGTACCTAGCAACCCTGGTCAGTGTGGTTTCCTTGGTTGGGTGGCATCCCACAAACCAAGGAAACCACAAGCGGAGGAGGAGGTTGTGGGTTCGATTCCTGGTGGAGGTATGGGGCACACACACACCTGGAGTGTGGGTGTGGTCTCCAGTGGGGATGCATAGGGGAGGCAACCAATTGATGTTTCTCTCTCTTCCCCTCTCCCTCTAAAAAAAATAATAACAATAATAATAACTACCTTATGTTGGGAGGGGGCACTAAGTGTTAGGAAGGAAAAGAAGGCAGGTACAGGGGTGGAGAGTGGAGGGGAGGCTGTCACATACACGGTGGTCAGGGGAGGGCTCTCTGTGGAGGTGACATTTGAGCAGGGTCCCAATGGAATGAGGGAAGCAGAGAGTACGTGGGGGAAGGGCATTCCAGGCAGAGAGGACAGCACGTGCAAAGGCCCTGAGGCGGAACTGAAGCTGCTGAGTTTGCAGAACAAGAGGGCAGCTGAGCGAGAGGTAAGATCACAGAAGCCAGTGGGGTGGCCAGCGAGAATGGTGCAGACCAGTGGTGAGCTTGGGACGCTTACTGCCTACTCTCAGCCTCGGAAACCCACCCGGGACTCCCCCCTCGCAATTACACTAAACTGTGAACCAAAAACCCAGTTAGGACTCTGCTCACAGGTCCTTCTCCGAAGACGCACCTCTGCCCATGACAGAGACCCCCAAGTTAAGTCAAACAATAGAAAAAAAGGGTGCGCAGTGGTGGTGGGGAGCCCCGCATGGGGGCGGGGGGGGGTGCCCTGGAGGAAGTGGGCGGTTGGGCCCTGCATCAGGCAGGAAGATGACAGCCTCTCAAACGGGGTGACAGAGGGGAGCTCGCTAGTTTAATAAAGGGACCAAAGTGTGGGCGGCAGTTAGGGACAGCAACCAGCCTCCTCTCTGCTTGCAGGAGTGAGGACGGGCGGAGGGGTGCGCTTGAGACCTGGAGAAGCGAGAGTAGGAGGTGCCAGGAAGCGCCTGGGGACACGAGGTGAGGACCGGGAGGCTGCTGGACACCCAGGTCCGGGGTTCGGAGGAGAGGGCTAGAAACAAACAATTCGTAGTTACAGGGTTTGGGGTTTGTTTTTCTTTTTAAATGAATTAAACCATTTGTTTAACAGGTAGTTAAGCGGCAGAGTGGCAGGCAGGAGCTGAGGATGCTACAGGGGCTGAGGCCATCATGCACCCTGACCCTGACCTCGCACCTTCCCTGCTCCATACACCTCTGCCACCTGCTCTGTCCCTGCAACCTTCTCTTGACTCCACCTAGCCCCCCACTCAGCCCAGACTCTCACGGAGCCACAGCTCCCCTGGACACCCAGGGGAAGGGGGAGGCGCCTAGGCGACAACCAGGTGTGTGGCCAAGGTCCCAGTTGGGGACATGGGGTCAGTTAGGACATGGTGAGTGTGAGGTGCTTTCTGGGTGTTATAGGTTGAATGCTGTCCTCCTTGCAAAGATATGTCGAGGTCCTCTCCCTCAGAGCTTTCAGAGCATGGCCTCATGTGGAGATGGCATTAGTTATAAATCATTAGTTAAGGCTGAGATTGGAGTGATGTGGCCACAAGCCATGGTAGGCCCGGGGTGGCGGAAGCTGGAAGAGGCAGGAAGGGTCCTCTCTGAGAGACTTCCGAGGGAGTACAGCACCGCCTACACCCGGATCTACACCCGGATTTCTGCCTCCGGAAGAGAATGTGTGAGAGAATGCAGTTGGATTTTTTTTTTTCCTTTAAGGATCCTCACCTCATGTTTATTGATTTTAGAGAGAGGTGGAGAGAGAAAGAAAGAAGGATCAATTGGTTGCCTTCTTACAGGCCCTGACTGGGGATCAAACCCGCAACCTTTTGGTGTAAGGGGACGACGCTCCAACCAACTGACCCACTCGGCCAGGGGCAACGTTTCCGTTGTTCTAAGCCAACCAGTTTGTGCTGTTGTTACGGGCAGCCCTCGGAATGAATGCGCTGGGCATCCGGGAGGTTGCTGGCGCCAGCGGAGTCTGGGCTGAGGGGCCATCTGGGCTGGAGTCAGATCTGCAGCGGAATGAGAAGGCCGAAGCAGGCAGCCCAGGGAAGAGGTTTGTCCATGCGGCTGTGCGGGTGTGAGCTGTTGAGACAGGTTGTGGGAGGGCTACTCGAACTCCAGCACCTCCCCCACCCCCTGTGGGTCCCTCCCAGGAACCAGAGACGAGGGAGCTGGAAGAGGGAGAGCCGCAGGCAGCCCCCTGGGCTCCAGGCAGGCCTACTAGCGGCCGAGCAGGCCTGGAGGGAAACCACAGACGTCTGATCAGGAGCCCCATGAGCCCACTCTGTGCGTTCTAGAACAGAACAGAGGGGGACAGAGGCTGGTCGATACGCAGAGAAAGCAAGTGCTTCAGACTGACCCCCCTCCCACCTCCCTGCAGCGCCACTTGGGGAGCAGGAAGGGGAGGGGCAGTTCTGCACCCTCTTAGAACCGGGGAAGAAAAACTAGATCCATTAAAGATGGCCCTAGAACCCCACAGAGCAAGCACTGCTCCCTGAATCCTTGAACTGCACCTCTCGCTGTGTTCTCAGTGCCTGCCGTCTCGTGGGTCTCAGAAACTGAATTTGTGCACCTGCCCCGGTTCAAGGGTCCTGGTGTGTTGCGACTATAGGTTAAAGCCAATTTCCAATGTTGAGCAGAACCTGGGCCATTCCGGAGAATTTTATACAATTGAAGGGAAAAGGTAGCTCCATCGACTGAAGTCTCTGTTTTTAATCTGTATTGAGCATGTTGAGAGATCACTTTTAGGTTCAGCTTTCTGTTTCTCTCTTTTTTTAAAAAGCACTTATTTATTTATTTATTTATTTATTTATTTTTAGAGAGAGAGAGAAAGGAAGGAGAGAGAGAGAAACATCAGTGTGTGGTTGCCTCTTGCATGGTCCCTACTGGGGATCTGGCCCACAACCCAGGCACATACCCTGACTGGGAATCGAACTAGTGACCCTTTGGTTCACAGGCTGGTGCTCAATCCACTGAGCCACACCAGCTGGGGTTGTTTCTCTCTTTATGTGTCTTTCAATCTGTCCCTTTTGTCTCCTTCCTTCTTTCTCTCCCTCCTCCCTTTCTTTCTTCTCCTTCCTCCCTCCCTCCTTCCCTGCCTCCCTTCTCTTGCAGGCATTCTGCCAAATGCAAACCTTTCTCCCAGACTCCACTCTCATCACATACAACTGCCTAAGAAATACCTGCTGGGATGTCTCATCGTGTCCAAAAGGGAAATCACACACTCATCAGGAAATCCTGCCAGCTCCACCCTCTGAATACACCCAGACCCTGACCGCCCCACTCCGGGCGTTCCCCACCACCCGCTCTCACCAGGACTACGCAGTCACCCCCTCACTGGGCTCCCTGTTTCTGCTCTTGACCTCTT